TAAGATCCCTATTATAATCCCTATAAAGGGGAGGAGGTTTATTAATCCGGGGTCTGGGTTAGCCTCCTGCAAATTTGAACTGACATGGAACTTTGCGTGCGGCAGTCTTTGAACTGCCCGTTTTGGTGGCTAGTTGTTTGTAACTTTAGGGGTATGTATATAAGCCCCAACCCGTAAACCCCCAAACCATAGATCCCAAACCCTAAACCCCAACCAAGCCTGGAACCTGAAACTCTAAACCCTAGACGGTTCCAGTTTATGGGAGAGCTTTTGGGCTTGGCTCTGATAGGGTTTAGGGTTTAGGGTCTGAAACGCCCTCAGTCCGCTTCCTGGGAGGCGATGCTACCCCCAGGCGGCTAACAGGGCAACAGCGGCAGTTCTTTTGCAGAGGCCTAGTGTGAATAGGCGCGGATAGGTGTCAATGTCGAGGATTCTGCACAAGTCCTGCGCACTTCCCACGGGGGATATGAACACTGTAAGATGATGTACGGCAAGTCCAGCTGTGGAAACGCAAGGACTGGAATTTCTGGCTCGAGTTGCATGACCACCTGATGCGATTGAAGCTCGTTTCCGACATGCTGTTTGCTTTCGTTTTTTTCTTTCGACTCGTTTGGCCATAGCTGGCTATAACTAGCAGCACTTAGGCTTGCAGGATAATGAGTCTGCTTAGAAACCCTTTCAAAAAGAAGTTTTTGTTGCCCCTAAACCCTAAAAACTAAACCCTAAACAGCTTTACAATAAGCAGCGGATAGAAGTAATTGTCATGACATCTGTAGTCCATGTTTCAATTTCCCAAAATCAGGGGCCTAGGGGCCCTTGAGGATATATGTGAGATGATGAAGGATTTCATAAGTCCTCGAGTCATCATTAGGCATTCTATAGGAGTTGTTTTGACGAATCCCCATATGAACTATAGTCTAAACTCCAACTATCGCCCTTCATAACCCCTGTCATTCATAATACTCCCCTAGACAGGCCCCTATAAAACACTGCCACATGTAATGCCTTCGAAAGAGGCAAGGTTTTGCACTCCATTCTACCTGGACCCATAAAATATGTAACCTAAACCCCTAAGAATAGCCCCAAAGGCCATTATTTTACATACTGTTGGGGTCTAGGTAGGGGTCATGTCATTGATTAAGGGTTCAGGGTTTAGGGTTCAAGCAGCATTGTGCTGTCAGCTCAAGTACACTACATCATAATCATCCAGTGCAAGAAACCTAGGACAATAGTTTTTGAAATTGTT